AAAGCTGTTCTGGGCTCTCTGCCTGGAACACAGCACCATGAGGCTGTGCTTGCTGCCTTCCCCAGAGCTGTCCTGCAGGTATCCTACCTGCCAAGAATAAGAAAGCAAGAAACATCAGATTAATTTCCAGACTGAGTTTCCTGTCTTCCCTTTGGAGATCTGTCCACAGCACTGCCACGACATGCAGAGCCTTCCCAGCCCACCTAGGAAGGCTGGAAGAGGTGTTCAGTGTGAGCTGCTAATTACTGCTGGCTGGAGCCAGTAGAAAGGTTGGGTTTCCACAGCCCACTGCTAATGTAGAAACCTGCTAATAATACAAAGAGCTGTGTTGTTCCAGGTGGAACTGCATCTCCTGCAGATGTTCCCTGGCATAAAACTTGCAGTTCCTCAGGTCTGCAGTAGGTTTTGAAAGCACAAAGTCATTGATTAGGGTGTTAACCAGAAACCTGTTTGTGCTTACAGTCAGACAGTCTCTCAGCCCAGCCTGAGTCTTTGCAGTCTTTGGCAGCATACCCCAGGCCTGACCTTACTCCCACCACAACAGGTAGCTCAGTCATCCAGCCCTCCCCCGAATTCCAGCAAAGGGTTCTGAAATGATGATGGAAGTTATGTTTCTTTTTTAAAACGTAGTGGAATTTTCACAAGGGGTTTCAGTAACCTGCTCATAAATTCCTTTGAACTGGGTGCCTGCATTAGTTTTGTTCTATGAACCTGCTCATAAATTCCTTTGAACTGGATGCCTACATTAGTTTTGTTCTATCGGAACCCCTTGTGCAGGGCTGCTCTTCTCAGCTGCCATTGCCAGAGAGTGAACAAGAGAAGAAAGCCTCATTACCCCAACCCTGAGTCATCCTTCTTCCTCTTACCCTAATTATAGTGAATTGAGTTCAAGTCTGTTAAAGTGGAAATTACAGTTTCCTAAAACTGTGGTGGGAGGCAGTAGATCAAGAGGCCAAGCTATAGGCTGTGGCTAGACCACATCAGGAAACATGTGGTGAAGATCTGAGGGTGATAATGTGCTGTCATACAAGTACAGCAGAATACACCACTACTGACCTTTCTGTACAATGGCCAAACTGAAAAAAATACAGGACAACAAAGCCAGGAATGTCTTGTCCTGTGGAAGGCCTGACATTCATGAAGCTGACGCTTACCTCCAGGAGGCAGAGGTGGTGTGTCCAGGTGGTGTGTCCGGACTGGGGCCACAGCCATGCTGAGAAACTGGGTTATTCCCCTTTTATTTTTCAGGGAAATATTTGATAACTGTAACCTCACATCTGTCTTTGTGTTCCTTCTGTGACCTAGTCCTCTCTTAGGTTGCTGGCTGAAGATTTCAGTGCAATGGTCAACAACCCCCACCTGAGTGATGTCCAGTTCCAGGTGGACTCTGGGGATGTCCTTTATGCCCACCTGTTCGTGCTATATGCAAGGTGTCCACAAGCTGTTGAGGCTGTAAGTGCTGCTCACACACCTCCCTGCTCTGCTTCAGGAGGGCCCAGACTGCCCACACCACAGCCAGTTGGTGCTCCAGAACCAACAAAAGCACTGCTGGGCCTATGGCAAGTGCCTCAGGACCTGCAGTGGTTTTTCAGCCTAGGGAACCAGAATCATAACAAAGTGGTGGAAGATGTGGTCCTTTATGTGGATAGACTATAGGGAGGCACAGATCCTTTCTTGTATTCCATCCTGAGCAATGGAGGAAGCTTCCTAAGTGCCTTTTGCCCTTGAATTTTTCTACCTGGCCAAGCATAGACTGTGCAAGCCTTGTCCACCTTGGTGTGTCCTGCCTGTCGCCCATGCTAGGAAGTACTTTAAAATAACCTGCACAGCAGTTTTGTTACTCTCACAGTTCGTTTGGATGTGGCTGCACTGAACTGTGCTTTTTGCAGGGCTAGTGAAGTAATTCTTATGTTTCCAGAGCATTTTAGGTTGCATAGCTCCCAGCCTGCTCCCGTGCAGCTCCCTGGTGGGATAGGGAACCTGACATTTGAAATGTGCCCTTTCCTAGAGCTGTTCTATCCATGCAGCAACTCCCTGACAAACAGCTTTCTTTGCAACTGCCCTTCAGGGAAGTTCAGTCCTGTCCTCGTGTGTTGGCTGTAGTTTCCACCCAAGGTGACTCAGGCCATTTCCAAGGGCTCCATGAAAGTCTGGGGAGGGAAAGCAAATTCATCTATGCCACACAGCAGTCTTCGTAGGAATTTTTTAAGGGATCTTCACAGCTATTGGCAAGTGTGTGTGTGTGCCCACAAGTGAAAAGTGCTGGTTTAGCCATGTTCTCTTATTGTTTCCCTGCAATTCTGTCTGGCTTCAGCATTCCCATCTACTGTTTTCATTGGCAGGAGTCATTTGTATGAGTAGAGTGGTGGGATTGGCTCTGTGCTGTATTTCTGAGGCCTGCAGAAGGTTGTTTTCCTCTAAGCCTCCACCTGCAGAGCAGCATTTCATGTTTGTTTTCTGTATAAGTGAGGGAGTGCTCTACTTTGTTGGAGATTTTGGGTAACAAGGAGACAGTAATTAATCAGAGATGATTGCAGAGGTTGTGCTTTCTGTTGTATGGCATCCCCTAACTTTGGAGAGAGTTTCAGATAGTACAAATGTGATTTGGCTGCCAAGGAAGTGAGACCTTTCTAAACTGGAGATGCATTTTAGCCAAAACCTGGGATCAGGTCAGACCCACACAGATAATGGCCCAGTCAGTGGGATTAGTGTTTTGTGTGGTGTCTGTTTTCCTGAGACACCAGAACTAGAGTTTTGGCAGTGCATCAAGGGTAGGGAAATTCAAAACAGATCAGATGAAGATCACTTGCAGAGAGGTGTAGATAACTCTGGAAATTGTGCTCTGGGAAGTAATTCAATTCCAAAACTAACTGGAGAACTCTTAAGAGCACCTTTTATATGTGTGACTGAAAGGAGTACTTAAATTCCATTGAAGCTAAGAGCTGTAGGCTCAGGAAGGAGATGGCTCTGCATAGCTGGTTCTGGTGCCAGGGTAGGACATGGAGTAAGCTGATAGGAACAAGCATGTTGGTGTTGCTGATCCTTTACCAGCAACTTTGCTTTGCTGTTTCCCCAGGTTCACAGCGAGGGGTTCCTGGTGGAGGAGGAGGGCAGTGTGCGGACGCGCCGCGTGCTGCTGAGCGACATGAGGGCCGAGGCCGTGTGCGCCTTCCTGCGCTACCTCTACACTGCAGACAGCCGCGTCCCTGCGGCACTGCGGCCCCAGGTGGGGGCTCTGGCTGCCAGGTTGGTGTCCTGAGCTGTTTTGGATCCCCTCATGCTTTCAACCACATAGAATCAGAGAATTTTAAGGGTTGGAATGGACCTTACCGATCATCTAGTCCCAGCCCTGTGCCATGGGCAGGGACACCTCTCCACTAGGTCAGGTTGCTCAGGCTTCATCCAACACTGCCAGGGTTGGGGCATCTACTACTTCTCTGGGCAACCTGTGCCAGTGTCTCACCACCCTCACAGGAAAAAACTTCTTCCTAAAATCTAGTCTAAATTTTCCCTCCTTTAATTTGAATCTGTTACACCTTGTCCTCTCACTGCAGCTCCTAACAGAGTCCCTCTCCACCTTCCCTGTAGCCCCTTCAGATAGGCCACTATGAGGTCTCCACACAACCTTCTCTACTCCAGACTGAACATCTCCAACTTCCTCAGCTTGTCTTCATAGGGGAGATGCTCCAATCCTCTTAGCAACTTCGTGGCCTCCTCTGGACTTGCTCCAACAGTTCCATGTCCTTCTTACGCTGAGGGCACCAGAACTGCATGCAGTATTCCAGGTGGATATCCACTTGGATATTCACTTGGATATCTTCAATATCTTCAATATATTCAACTGTTTATCTTCATTGCAATTGTAATGGCTTAAAAATTCCACAGTCCTCTCCTTATGTCCTAAATGAAACTCACACATAAGAGCATCCTGCCCTCACCTTCACGAGTCTCTCTTCAGGTTGTGCCTGTGTGAGACTTTCTGTGTTCAGCATCTGCTCAGCAGACTTTTGCCAAGAGTTTTGTCTCAGGATATGTACTGACAGCTGATGTGAACAATGATGAGCAGATCTTCTGTGCGTGATTCATCTGGACAACACTTGCAGAATGTATTGGATGCTTGCTGGGGCCTGGCTAGCAGAGGAGCTGTAACTTGAGCAGTGGTTAAAGAAATGCTTAAGCAATTAAAAACAAGACACACAAAATAGGTCTTGATGACCTTGTTTCTATCTTCATGCATTCCTGTGTTTTCTATCCAACACCTTATAATGGTCCTGTTCTCTCAGGCTGCCAGGGGTTTTTAGGTTTAGTTTTGGTTTTACTGCCTTATAGATAAGATAAGTCATCTGGCTAACAAGCTGGGAATAGTGCTGTTGTTTAGGTTCTCATGGACACTGTGTAGCTCATGTTATCAGTTTCCCAGGATGTGAGAGCGAGATGCAGCTTAAACTTGTAACCTATCATAAGTAAGAACTGCAGCATTGACAGGTTGAGCAACCAATCTAAAGTTGTGTGATCAGCGTGTGACTGCATGTATGGGAGACATTTTACTAGAAATACTGTTAGGTGTCCTAAATAAAGTTGGCTATCAGAGCATCATATTGGTGTGCTGTAGTGTGTCCCTCGCAAGGACCCCAACAGATGCTCAGAACTTTGATGTGTTGTGTCAGCCATGCTCTCACTCGTGGTCCTAGGCATGCACTAGATGCTTCAAACAGGAGCAGTTGCTGAGATATTGAGGGGAAAATGATTGGGTCTTGCCAAAATGTGCGTAGAGAGGTGCCCTGTCACTCCAAATAGCCATGAAGCTTACACATGACAGATACTATCCAGCCCCAGACATTCCACAGGGCTCTCCCACTGCCAGTGGCAAAGGAGTTTTAGTGTGGTCATGTAGCTGTTCAGTCTTGGACACAGAAAAAGAAGAGTGTGCCTGATGCTTTAATGTGAGTGACACATGGAAAAGGGGATTCCAGATTTTAGGAGTGTACTAGATCTTGTACATCTTAGGAAACCTCATGCAGATTCCTTACAAGAGTCACAAGAGTGATCAGGCAGCCAAATGGTGAAGAAATACTGGAGGAGGAAATACTAATGTTGTTATTGTATCCTTGCAGGTTTGGTGTGAGGGAACTGATGGCACAGTGTGAAAACAGCACTGGAGAGGGTCAGGTGTCTTCTGGAGTGGATTCAGAAGATGATCTTATCTCTGTGAGGGATGATGAAGATTGTGAGGACAGAGCTGAGAACTTCCAAGACCTCTTGAAGTCAGTGTGGGTGGGTGAAGATGAGGAAGATGAAGCTCTGCTGACCCCTGAATGCCAGAAGGAAGATGACATTCTGGTGGGTGAACAGGAGCTGGAGGAAATCTATGAGTTTGCTGCAACTCAGAGAAAGATGGCTCAGGGTGTGAGGGAGGTGAGCAAGGGAACAGACTGCAGCATCTGCAATGACACTGAGGCAGCCCAAGGTACAAACCAGCAGCCTCAGGAGGAAGAGGTAAAGAGACCTGAATCTGCTTCAATAAACAACACCTTCCAAGATCTGAGGGATGGCCATGATGTGGAAAGGTCTAAATGTGACTTGTCTGCACCAGAAGAGAAAATGCAGAATATAAATAGCTGCAGGAGCGTGAAGGACCCACAGACCACCATTGTGTCTCACCACAGTGAGCCTCAGGAATGGGACAGAGCATCCCAAGGTGCCACCACTAGTGAAGGAGAGGCTGTTAGGGGATGTGAAGGTGTGAAGGATTCCAAGTCATCTCAGGCCTCACATGATGAGGGAGGTCACTGTGAAAAACAGCTTCCCGGTTTCCAGGGTGAGACCAGTATAAATGACTGTTACGAGCACTTGTTTTCTGCTACTCAGGGGGATCACTGGGAGCCTTCCCTGGTGGAAGAAGTTACCAAAGAATCAGGCAAGTCCCCAGGTGAAAAACACGTTGATCTTAATGATTCACTTCAGTTCTGCAAGTCACAAAAAGACTGTTCTCCACACAGGAATGGTTTTTGTAGGAGTCCAACTCCCCAGCCTTATGTGCCCCTTCTTCCTGTTGTTGGCTCTTCACCTGCATCTCCAAAACCAGAGGAAAAGTTTGCCAGAGAACATGTGTCAACACCAAAGCAAAGGAAAAAGGAAAAATCATTCTCACCTGATGAAATACCCTCCCAGAAAGCCAAGGAGCTGGATGCTGCACCAAGAAATGAGAACACAGTCTCTTCAGCAGAGCTTCCCCACACGGATTTAAATGAGGGCACACCTGTCCCAGTGTTGGCATCACCAGGCAGGACTCAGGGGAACAAGGAGGGTGATGTTATTGTTTTATCTTCTGATGATGAAATGGAGTTACAACAAGACAAGAGGTCACCAGAGTCAGACTCTGCTCTGAAGAAAATGGAAGTCTCTGGGCAACTGATGTGTACAGACACAGAACAAGGTCCTGAGACACCAAAACCTGAACAAAACTCATCAGTCCCTGAAACAGAGCAGAGATCAGCCCAGGTCTTGTGTGGCAATACAGACACAGAGCATGGAAGTAATGGTGTAAAGTTGTCCCCCAAATTGCCTCTCAGCAGACACACAGGTGCTTGTACAGAAAGCAAACAGAGTCCAAACGTGAGCCCTGAGAAGAGGCTCAGTCCCGAAATGTCTGCAGGTTCAGACAGCTCCTGGCTCGTGCCAGACACACCTGTTCTCAGCAAAAGCAGAAATTCCTCAACACAAACTCAGGTCACAAGTATTTATTCTTTAAAGAGTTCAGGATCTAAACTCAGCACAAAGAACTTAGCAGAAGGAAATAGTAACCATGAAATGACTGGAAATTTAATAAAAGTTCATGAACAAACATCATCAGACAAACATTTGCCTATGGAGAATTCAGTCACTGAAAGAAGCCCTTGCAGCAGCCCAGCAGCAGGATCTTTTTCCAAGGACTCCCCACCAGTTTCTCCAGTGGATCCAGTTCTCTTCTCCCCTGGCCACAGCAACACAAAAAGCAAATGTGCCAAGACCTCAGTTTTATCCAAACCTGTGTCTCCGTGCCAGGAGCAGCCACTGGAAGGTAAAACAGACATCAGTGTGGTTGAGGTGGACAGTGAAAGGGACATCAGTCTGCCCTCTCTGGGTAGCAGTGTCCTGCTTTGTGAGGAGCCCCCAGTCCCCATGGATGACTGCTGGCATGTTGAGTGTCTGTCACCAGTCAGAGGTGACACCCAGGTCTGCAGCCAGGTCAGCCACGCGAAGACCAGCACAGCCAGCAGCCCCAGCCCTGGCTCTTGGCAGGACCAGTGGGAGAGCCCAGGCCATGCACAGGAAATTAAGGGCAGCACCCCTCTTCAGGAAGGTCCTGCTGGCAGGAGAGCTACTTTGCTCTGCCCTGAGAAGAGCCCTATTGAGGCATGTTCATCAGTGGGACCCAGCTACCTGAACTCCAAAATCTGGGATGAATGGAATGGAGAAGAGAAGGAAGATGAATTTCCAGAGGTGCTTCCTCTGTCTCAGAGGTTGGCAGCTGCATCAGGTGCCTGTCAGACAGATCCTGTCAAGACTCCTGGTGAGAGCTTGTATTCATACTAGATTTATTGGACTAGGTTAAATTGGTTTGATTTTAAGTGGTCATCACACCTGAGGTTCACTTGTTACAGTGAAAGGGTCTTTGGGCCTTCTGATCTGAAGCAGTTGGTAGGGCCAGGCAGAAAGAAGGTGCAGTCATCATGTGCTGTGGGAGAGAGCCTGTCTAAGTGTGAGACTCCATGGATGCACTGCTGCCTTGTGCTGCCTTCTTGCTGGATCTGGGCCCTCATGACAGACTGCTGCTCCTGTCCTTGTCTGGTTCTTTCCATCCAAGACCAGTAACTGATGTCACAGCATATCTAATTAAATATATTATTAATTATCCCATACTAAGTGATTAGTTTAAGGAGTGTTTAGAACACAATGTGTGAGACTGACTGTGCTTCCCAATATCAGTAAACTGGTGTCATTAAATCAGTACCTAACTCTGGACCCCAGTAGCTTGATTTGCTCAGGTTTTTCTGCATCAAGTCTCTATTCTGACATTTCCTTCCTGGGAGAAGAACCACTGCACAGCATTCAGTAAACATGCTTTTAACTGCTGTGTAAATGTCCCCTGTTCTAACAGAGCCCTGGATGGGATTTGTTTTCAAATGTGATATGTGTCCTAATTTAAGCTGTTTTCTGGTATAAAGTCAATAAAACCCAAGTATCCCAGTTAGGAAATAGAGAGTGTTGACTGTTCTGTCCCATATGAAGCTGAGTAATAACTAGAACAGCTTGTAGGAAAATAATGTTGTGAAACAATTACTGCATGATGTTAGAATGCCACTGAGAGGGGAAGATAGCAGCCAGCTTCAGTCCCTGCTCTACTAACTCTGGTCATACTCATTTCATTCTACTGCAGGACCTTCCTGTCAGGAGAACAACAGGTCCCCCAGCACCCCAGTGACCCCAATGCCAGCTTACTCCATCATGGAGACCCCCCAGCTGAAGAAAGAGTTGAGCAGGTGAGCATTACCTCCACCAGTGCATCTCTTTACAAGCGGAAATGTGCTGGCAGGACGTGTGGAAGGTGAACCATGGTAAAGCTCCAGCCAGTGCTTTCTGAGGTCACACCATACTGTCCCAGCTGGCCACTGCACATCCTGGCCTTGGACTCTTCCTGAGCTGTGCCAGTGGAAGGTGCAGCATTACTGTACCCTAAACTCCCACCTGACCTGGAGTACTGCACACAGTTCTGGTGTCCCAAACATAAGAAAGACATGGAACTGCTGGAGCCAGTCCAGAGGAGGCCACAAAGCTGATAAGAGGACTGGAGCACCTTCCCTATGGGGACAGGCTGAGGGAGTTGGGGCTGTTCAGCCTGGAGAAGAGAAGGTTGTGTGGAGCCCTCAGAGCACCTTCCAGGATCTGAAGGGGCTACAGGGAAGGTGGAGAGGGACTTTTGGTTAGGAACTTAGATGATATGATCTGTAAGCTCCATTCCAACCCCTTAACATACTATGGAATACTCTGAAACTTTCTCTTTCAGATTTGGAGTCCGTGCACTCCCCAAACGCCAGATGGTGTTGAAGCTGAAGGAGATATTCCAGTACACTCACCGGGACACGGACTCTGACTTCGAGGATGAAATCCCACGTTCCCAGCCTCCCCCAAGGAAGGCCCTGGCCAAAGAGCCAAGATTCCAACCCCTTAACATACTATGGAATACTCTGAAACTTTCTCTTTCAGATTTGGAGTCCGTGCACTCCCCAAACGCCAGATGGTGTTGAAGCTGAAGGAGATATTCCAGTACACTCACCGGGACACGGACTCTGACTTCGAGGATGAAATCCCACGTTCCCAGCCTCCCCCAAGGAAGGCCCTGGCCAAAGAGCCAAGGCAGCCACGGGCAGCCCGGGCTGCAGGCAGGAAGCACACTGCTGCCTCCAGGGCTGGGGGCAAGAGGAAGCAGATTGCTGCAGCTGCTTCAGTGCTCCCTATGGATCAGGCTGATGATGGATCCCATGAAACAGGCAGTGCAGCACCCAAGGAGGGAACTAAAGTGACACATCACGCAGAAGAAGCCAAAGAGCAGAAAAGGCCATCTCCAGAGAGAGGGTCCCTGGCAGCTGATGGCAAGGAGCCAATGCTCTCGGCATCTCAGGGGTCAACAGTTTCTTCGGAGGATGGGAGTGACATCTCCTTTGGTTCACAGAGGTAAGGCCAGAAAATCCTAAGCAAAACACTCTGTGGTGCAGGACAGAGATGAGGTAGGAATGGGGCAAACAGAAGTGAGTGTCCCTGTGGCCTGCAGTGGCCTTGCCCCTCCATGGGTGTGCCATTTGGAGGGCAGCACACTCCTACCAAAGAAGTAGCCTTTGGAATTGCAGTCTAATTCCCAGCGAGCTATTCTCAGAACAGAAAAGCAGTTGTGGCTGCATGTGGGCAAGGCCCAAATCTGGCATGGCCTGGTCTGCCAGTGAGTGACAAGGAGCACTCTGTGTTGCTTGAGAACCTGCAGCAGGAGTAGGGACAGCACAGCACAGCTCCCTGGGCAGAACCTGCCACAGCAAAGGGCAGGAGCCAGGAATACCAGACATCCAGGCTGGGTGAGCAGGACCTGTGCTGCCACGGCTGGGGTGGGCAGGTTTGCAGAACACATGCCATGTTCTGCCTCACTCGTTTTCTGGGTGCCTGCAGTGGAGTGTCTCTGATCCTCTAGAGGAAAGTCACAGGGGTTGGCCATCAGGGATTTGGGGAGCTCTGGTCCTGTCCTTGATGGCCTGTTCTTTCCTTGATCCCTGGTCCAATTGATCCTGCTTTTAGTTCTCTTGTGAATGGATTTGAAGACTGTGCTTTTGCATCTGAGGAGGAGGAAGAGGACTTTTCAGCATCTCAAGCAGCAGCTCGGGAAGAAGAAAAACTGGAGGCAGTGAGGTGCTACATCCGTTCAAACACAGCCCTGTACAACAGAATTCTCTTTTATGAGCCGATCGAGCTGGCTGATCTGCACACGGAGCTCAAACAGAATGGCATCAAAATCTCCAAGGCAAAGCTGCTGGACTTCTTAGATGCTCAGTCTATCACGTTTACCACGGCCAGAGCCCGGAGAGAGAAGGAGCAGAAGAGAAAGGGGAACAAAAAGCAGAGGAGGCGATACCGAGTGAAGCCCACTCCTCCCTCCTGAAAATTCCGTGCGGGGAGGCCTCGCTGTGCGGCTGGGGCTGGCCCCGGCCGAGATCCGTGCGAGCATCGCTCCTCCTCGTGGCCTGATCTCAGATGGCATCCCGAGAAAGCGGCTGAGCTGAGCTCCCGTTCCAGCCCTCTGCTCCAATTGCACAAACCCCTCCGTGGCTGTCCTGCCTTTAGCACACAGCTCATCTGGAGCCTCTTTTCCCCACTATTTTTCTCTTCTGCCTTTTTTTTTTCCCCATTTTTCCCTAATAACTTTTAGGTCCTGAACTTTTCCTCATGCTGGTGCTTCCTCCACTGACACTTGCCAATAACCTTTTCCTGGCCTTGGACTGGGAGATGCTTCACCCCTGTCTTGCCAATATTCACTAAAGTGCTGCATGTTTGGACCCCCGTGACTTCCCTCTTCACTTCTCCAGCACAGTTTGCCCTGCTGATTGTGAAGGCAGGGAGGGCTGTGGAAATACCTCCAAGGCCTTTCTCCTGCCCTCAGATCCATTTGCACTGTCCAGTGCCATCCCTAACAGCAGTGCAGGTGTTTTCTGTTTTCTCTGGGGTGACTCCCAGAAGCTCCTCTGACACCGATGGCATGGGAAAGCCCTTTGGATTGGCACATTCAGTGCTGTGTGTCCATTTGCACACTGCATCTGAGTTCAGATCCCTTCTGCTCCATGCCCTGAGCACCTTTGACCTTGGTGTAGCCCAAGGGTGTCCCTGGCAGTGATGTCTTGAAGGCAATATGACAGTGACCTCTGGATCTCCTCAGCACTTCTCACACCCTGATCTAAACCTACTGCTCTGATCAGCCCCATTTCCAAACTGGGCTGAAACCAGCTGCAAACGGTCTGGGACTCTTGGACAAGTCTTGGACCCTAAATTGTCATCCCTTAGCTATTGACTTTCACAACACCTGCTGAGTTCTGTCTGTTTTGGCAGTTCTGTGTGAGCAAACACAGGACAAACTGGACACAACACTTCACAAAGAGCAGACAGATTTCTAACTGTATTGATGGAAGTGTAACACAGAAAATTTTGTGCTGTTTTTGATACAGTCAATATACAGGTTTGATTTCTATTCTGTATGAGAAACAATTTCTAAGCTACTAATTCTAAACTCTAAGTAACATCCGATGAGGGGAACAGGCTTGGGGGGTTCTAAACAGCCAAGTTGGGTCTGGCTGGGGGCAGAGGGCTCTGCAGTCTGTGGCAGAGCTGGCTGAGAGCCCAAGCAGGGACCTGGGGGCAGAGGAGCTGTCACGGGCAGCCAGCAGCAGGGAGAGGTGTGGAGATCCCCGGCAGGGGCTGAGGAGTGGAGCATTGGCTGCCTGGAGAGAGTGAAGCTGCCTGGCTGCTCGGGGCTGGCAGCTGTGGGGCTGTGCAGGGAAGGGCCTTGCTGGAGCTGTGCAGCCTTGGTCCACAGGCCAAGAGGTGTGGGACTCCTGCCAGTCCCACATTGCTCTCTGCTCTTCTCCCCGAGCAATGCTCTCTGCAGAGAGCACTAGCACAGGAATACCTTCACCTGCTCACAGCTGGCCTTGAGCTCATGGATCAGCTCCTGCTTCTGGGAGCAGCAGTGTCCCTGCAGCAGGTCCCTGTAGAGACTGAGTGGGTCTGTCCCTTCTCCTGGCAGGCAGAGGACAGGGAGCAGGATGAAAGGGGCAGAGGGTTCAGGAGGCTGAGCCCTCTCTGGCTGGGTTGGCCTCTCCTGCAGAGCTCCCATTCTGGCTGGGCTGTCCCAGGCAGAGGCTGCAGGAAGAAGAGCTCAGCAGGTTCTGTCTGGTGTCCCCTGGGGCTCAACCTCTGTCCTTTTGCTCCTCAGGGGCTGAGCCTCACCTCTGCCTCTGGGGCTTGGGCAAGGGGCTGGGCAAGAGCCCCAGGACCCTTGGGGCCTGCCCAGGTTTC